CACAACATCTTCTCTCTGATTTCTCCCGAGCTACATTCGTACTCGTCTACAAGCTCGACCAAAACTTGGCAATGGTTCGAAGGAATACGAGTTTGACTTGAAAAATTGCCAAGTTTTGGTCGAGCTTGTAGACGAGTACGAATGTAGCTCGGGAGAAATCAGAGAGAAGATGTTGTGAAATAAACCTTTGCAATGCTATCGACTTTCGTTACAAGATTGAACCCCAATACAACAGAATACTATATGGCTACCCAGTTCTATTCTTTCGAAATTCCAGTAAATAGCTAATTTCTTTCACTCTTGATCTTATGTGAAAATGTAACCACTTATATTCGACACATATTCTTTAATGGCATTGAACACATGTTCGGAAGTAGTCGTGTTTGAAATTCTCGTTCTCGAGTACGATTTTTACTGTACTCGTACTTGAGAAAGTCCATACTTGTTCAGCTCTGAACCAATGACCGATTCTGGTTTCAAACATATTAGGCCACATACCTCATCTGGACTGTTATCAACTATTGTATCTAGTGGCCGTTGAGTCAGGCGACATGTATTGTCCATCCACGATATTTCACATCTAACTACTTCTTCATTGTCAAAGAGATCGGTAGGCGTTGTATAAAGCCAAATTTCATCTGATTCTGGAGCATACGCACAAGTTACAAACCAACGTTTGATATGAACCCAAAATTGAGCTCGAAAAGGAGCAACAAGTGACTCGAGATTAATGAAACGATCGTTTGTATGATATTGATAAGCGAAGAAGAATTCAAGTTTATCTAGTTTGAGCATTTTGCTACTAGCAAGTTGTTCCCAATAAGAGGCATCGAATACAGAGTCAAATTGTTGTCTCTTAGAAATAACTTTGAGATGGCGAAGTGACATTATTGATGAAAGTATCAATTCGAAGTCTTGTATACGAAGTGAACTGGCAATTATGCTCAACGACTTCAGTGCCGAATGTAATATAGATGCAGTGGTTGAAATCAGCGTATTATTCATATCATCTGCAGTGTAGCCTTGCATGACGAGAGTTTTTAAATGAGGTAATCGATGAAGAATGTCCAAATAGTCGCTATAGCTGCAACTGAAGACCGTTAAGTGTTCTAACATGCATGAAACTGGCCACACTATGTTTGCTGTATAAGGCACATTGCCGACACATAGTTTTTGAAGATTCCATCGACTAAATACCGATGAAACTAGAGTCCATACTCTGCTATACATATCTTCGCTTGGTTCTATTGAAAGCGAGGTCAAATATGTAGTATTCAAATTTTCAAAGAGATACTCTAAGTCGTTATCTGGTATTTCATAAAGATTTAGTGAACGTAGTCGAGTAAAATGATGAAAACTGAATGGCAAACGATACTGATTTACTCGACTTCGTTTGTTATCCGATCGACAACGATCGAATAGCGAGGTAAGCCGGTAAATCAATGCATCCCTCCAACAGTCATGGTCGATCGTTAATGAAATGACACACTCGGGTCGAATAAAATGAGCAACTGCCGTTGTGAGATCGAGTGATTTTGGATTCAAAATGAGCTCATACCGATCATAAGTGTTGACCATGGCATACATTTGTTGGCAGATTGGGCGAATCGAACCAAGAATAGTGTGTGTATCACAATAATCAAATATGCGATGGACCAATTCAACAGGTAGATCAAGAGACGACACATTCGGCATAGAAGCAGCAGTCATAGTGGATAAAATCACAGATGCAATGTTCTAGGAGTACGAAAGGAAAGTATCAGTTATGTTTCCTGCCTAATTCTCTAAACTTGAGCGACACAATGCAACTATGAAATTCATGTTATCAGCAAGGTTTCAAATATTGAACAATCTTTCCAAAAAAAAAACATGTAGAAATCCAATGAGTAGTACTAACAGATAAGACAGAATGACAAAAAAAGGAGAGCACAGTGTATTGGAAAGACTGCTTTTTTTCCTCGTTCATAAACTCTTATTTCCACTACTCTAACAATACCTACAATAGCGGCAAAACTTTTGAGTTCATGGAGTAGTTTACGTTATTATTCATAACATATAATAAAAAATGGACAAGCTTGTTTAGAAGTAAGTGTGCTGGAAATCTAGACTGATATGTATCGCCAATGAAGAATGTGGTACAGGCTTTTCTATATAGAACACAGTCTCAGATGAGTCGCAAATACATCCATTGGAGATCAGTTGCGCGAAGCAGATTAAATAGTCGGTCATTGAGATTTTGAAAGAATAGTTTCTTACAAAGACATCGATTGAAGAAATTTCAAGATAAGCTTTAATCTGTATGGTTTATATTCACTAAAATATGCCGCAAGGAAAAGTTCATAGTCGATAAGGAATCTTTATTTTTCTTTGAAAAAATGAACTCCGTCGATAGATTTCAGGCATGTTCTCGTTCATCATCGAAATCAACGTTCTCTCAGACGAAAGCTTCTAGTATATTTTTGTATCATCTACTCATACTCTCACGTTTCTATTGAGTCTGATTGATCTACTGAAGTTCGTAACAGAGTAATGCATCATGTCTCAAAATCAGGAATGGATACACATCTCCTGTCGTTTCTAGTGCATTCCAAAGAACATTTCTCGAATATTGAACTCGATGACGCATGCTGCATATTTTTCAGAAAATACAATATCTTTTATCACTTTTCATCTTTACGATAAATTGTTCTTTCTAAATTCTCGACACGGTTGACTGACTTATACATGTGACTATACCATAATTATATAGTCGTCGTTGTTCAAATGATATTCGAAAAAGTAATGTTGATTTTTCCTTTTTTGTAGAATTTAGATTTATTTTCTATAAGATTGAAATCAATTTTAAAATATCACGAAAACCTGTTTTTGATCTTCAAATTCGTTCGAAAAATGAAGCACATCATTTGATGATATGTAATACCTAGAAAATGTTTGAACTTTTGATAACTTGGTTTTACAAAATGTACAGTGTTATTACAAAAGAAGGGAGGGAGGCGAATTTTTTAAGGCGTATAACGATGATAAAAACTGCGCGATACGCTCATAGAACGTCTTCTACATAAGTTGAAAATAAATTATACTCACATATCAGAAGATACTGAAACGTATGAATAATATTTTTTGTGTGTTCGTAATTAGTTTTGGTAGGTTTTTATCAATGACGAAATCACGTTTTTTTACCTTGTGGCTCGTTATGTGCAAAACAAAGCGTGAGATTTTCGTAAGGTAAATAGTTGGTTGTGTAGGGATATACTTGTCATTGCACGTGTTCGCTTCTTTCATCATGTTCTTTCTCTATACGTCTATTTTTTTTCTTTCTTTGCATTACGTGTCATCAAACCAAGAAAATGTGCATCGATATTTCCATATGCCAACGTATTCAAGTAGGATGTAAACATTTTTTACGTCACAGTGACAAAGCAAACCAATAGGCTTTTGATCAATGGAGAAAGAGTTGAAATCACATTTCTTATTTATTAAACTGACTGGTTTTTTTAATTTCTTGTCAACTTTAAATGAAAAAAATTAATTTAATCAAAAAGTTTTTTTGTAATTATTATGGTAAGTCTTATTATTTCAAAGCACGAATCGTCTTCTTTTAACAACTAGGTTCTATCTAAATCCTTAAGTTATTAGAACATATTTAAGATTAAGACACAAAACTTTGAAAACTATACCTTTTTTGAATAAGTGAGTTTTTTTATTAAATTGATAGGTTTGATTTAAAATTAATAAAAATTTTAAAAAGTCATCTGTTTTCTCTTGCTTTTGATCTCTAATATGAGAAAACTTAGCCAAGAACAATTTATCAATAGATTTCTTCACAAAAATCACTCGTTCCATAGACTAAACAAGAAGTTTTATACCACAAAAATCGACTGCAGCTGAATTCCAATAATTCCAGGAGAAATTCTCGTTTTATCTTTCTTCCACTTCGTTCTAAAAGAACAAATGATAATTACCAAGTGACATCCTATCGTAACGGAAAATTATATAAGCAATGAGTCTCGATAGACTAATCATAACGGGATGAGGTTGAATATCTTTCTCGTCCTTTTTTTGTGTGGATAATATGGGTATTTTTCTTGTTAATACAAATCATACAAGCATATCAAGAATTAAAGACAAAACATGATTTTAAAATTAAAACTAAAATTGTCACAAATCTACATATGAATTATCATCGGTAGTTAATCATTGACTTGGGTGTGGGTGGGTGGGTGTGGGTGTGGTCATCGCTTCCTCACTGACACTCTAGCTAATTTTTATGAAAGATTGTCGCCACTAGGCTATCTCTTTTCACTCTTGCCTATCTTCATACTTGGTGAGTAAAGAGCTCTCACTGTCTGTGACATATCTTTTTTCAAGATCTCAAACCAAACTTCTTGTCCTTTTTCTTTCACCGGCAAGACTCGACTTAAATCTCAATTCGGCCTCGATACCTTGTGATGTTGTTAACTCAATCAACACCAGAAAAGCAAAAATAAAGGACAAGTCTTCGTTCTGTCATCGTCACCTATGCAAACAACTGTGGTAATTGAAAGACAAATAATATAAGATCACGTGGAGAGGCAATCTCTTCAGCTACCTCTTTCATTTCAGCACGCATCAAGATTGCAACCTTATCATGCAGTTGTGAAATTATTTCGCTTTATAAAGACTGTTGTTCTTTCGTTGACAACGACGACGTATCGCAAGCAGTTACTTTTATTTTGCTATAGCATTGAGTGCAAATCAGTCGAGCGAGGAAATGGTGGGTAAAGCAGGCATGTGCAGGAATATAATTTTGATTTCAATGAGAGCGGGACCGGANTTTCAAGGTTTAATATAAATGAATGATGCAGCAACTGCACAATCGGCAAAATTAGTAAAAAAAACATTCAAAGATATTTTTATCAATCATAGAAATAATTTTTTTTCTAAAGAGTTTAAATTGTCAAAACATTTATAATTATTGTTGTACATTACAAATTGTTTTTTGATTTTTCTAAAGTACATTCATTAAATGTCAAATATAAACATGATAAAAGTCGAGATTATGCAAATCCAATATTACCACCAAGTGAAAATTCTAATGAACCTGTTTCAATTGATGCAAGATATTTAACAGATATTCCAAATATTTATGGTTCATCAATAATGACACTTACTGACCTGCTATCAAACTATTATATTTTTATAGACAAATCTAAACTCTGACATCTTTCAGAAGTACGAAGTTGAAAGAAATAAAAATTAGATCGATTGTTGCTGCTCCTTTCCCTCATTTTGTATAATGCAATTGACGAGTGAACAGCGTAATATCTGATTGTTTTGTTTTCAATCAACTTTGTATCATGATGATGACATGATTGCGGAAAGAAATGACTAATACTCATTTACTTGTACCTTTCTCCGTTCTTTCTCGTCATTTCTAATTCATAATTTCGAAGTTTTAAAAAAGAAGTGAAAGCACATGGCTCTTCCTATTTTTCTACTGCTGATGATTTAATATTGCCAGTTATCGAAAGAAAAATGGAGTATTTGGGTGTGGATATGGTCGTCGAGGTCTACTATTTCTTTTTAGCCACAATCACACACTCATCCGCACCCTACACAAAAACAAAAAGTTATGTTTGAAACAGTGTATAAATGAAGTCAATGGTGACAAGAAAATTTTACATTACAATAAATGAAAATATGATAATTCACAGAAAATTTCAAGACAGACAATGCAAATTAACACTTTCGTCTGATGCTATAGCAATTGTAGCGTCGTTGAAGTGAACGGCATCATAAAGAGATGCATTGTAATAGTATTTTTTGAGGAAGCCTTCGTTTTTAGATATATGTAGAAGTTCAGCATTATTCGGATCAATTATCATCCATTCATCGTTGGTTAACAAACGGCATGACAGTATGTAATCTTCAGACGTTAAATCGAATTTAAGTGACCAATATCGTTCAAGTGTTATTAGTAAGCATAGGTCGAGGTGTATATCATCCTCATTATTATTGATAAGGATAGCAAATGCAGCATGATTCGATGCAAGATCTTCAATCGATGAATTTTCTGCGCAAGAAAGAGGTGATACGTGTTCTCGAACAAACTGAAACGATGGCTGAAGATCATATTCGACGATAGAAGGTCCTTTATTGAATGTTGATAGGAACAATTTGTGATTTGAATATGTTCCACATGATCAAGTGCTAATATACCTGTGTTGATCAAGTGTAAGTGGTTCGAGAGTGAAGATTGCTGTCGAAGTGATGAGAATGAATCGAGCAAGAGCATTCGACCAAATGATATCATGAAGATCGTCTTGAGTCCACCTGATATTTTTCTCAACGATCAATTCTCCATCGAATAACCGAACATTTTTGTCTTGTATAACCAAAAGATTCTTGTCGTTGCCGGCTATAGCAACGGGTGTGTCTGTTCCTTCCGACATTTTATACGGAGGCGGTAATGGAAAACCATTTTCTGTTTGCGATATTTTATTGCGAATACGAACAAGATTATCATCGATGACCAGAGGCGAAATAATAAATAGTTGACTTTCAGAGAGATTGATTAGTTCTTCGAGAGATTGCAGGGATTTTTTGATTGAATTGATATATTCATGTGTCACGTCTTGTTCATGATTCAGTTCACTAATTTTGTCTCGCAATAGATTAAGTTTATTTTTCTTAATTGTTCTTGATTGGTTAATTAATCCTTCGAATTCTTGTTTTTTTCTTTCATAGAACTGATGGATCAGTCGATGGGCTTGCTGACGCCACTGTTCAAGTTCTTTGAGAATAACAGGTTCAACTAGCATGACGGTGTTGAATTGTTCAGAAAGAGCATTAGTTTCATCAGCAAGGACCGTTAGTTGGCTCAGATGTAAATCGTAGTGTTCATTCCGATGGACGATACAGAGATTTTGTTGACAACACTGACAAAGAGCACGAGAAAATCGTTTACAATAGTTAATCGTGCAACTTCGTGATGATTCCATATCGGATGATATTAAACATGCGACTTAATGCGTTTATGATACGAAGAAAAATGTGACCATCCTACAGTTTATCATCCTCTTTTTTTTATAGCGGTCACAATGAAAATAAAACAACAAAAGACAAAAAAGTCAGGCTATATTCATCTCAATAATACTTGTGTCTATATGGGCGATATATCTATAGAATGACCAATAACTACGATCGACAGTCGATTTTTAATCTTTACCGTTTTTTGTTCTTCAATACGATATGATCAACGTTGTCATATGATCGAATATTCAACAATGACAGCCCATGTCATGATCATATTCTCATAATTGATTATGTTCATGTCTGAGATAACGACGAGATCTCTATCATGTAATTGGATACTCTTGTTCTTGTAAGATTTCAAAAAAAGCATAAAATACTGTTATTGGATGTATAGTCGAAATATTTCCATCGAATATAGCAAGGGTGTGAGTGTAGATATCAATTAATGAGAGACTCAAACCTCACCCACACTCACACCTTCACTTTGCTCATCATCAACAACCAAACCGAATAGTCAATTGAGTTGATTCAAATCTTGACCATGTCCATTTCCTCTAGCGACATTGACACTAATTTGTAACCATCGAGCATCCGGATAAAAACGGATGCCTATCGAGCGAATTGATGCTATAATCAGACAAAAATTCATAAAATAATCGTACTCTATTTCAAACAATCCTGATAAATATTGGTTTCATCGATTGATAAGCAATAGTCTACTAAGAGATTGAGAGATGAGACTTCTTTTTTATTAGTGAGTTTGTTTGTTAGATTAATCAAAACATTCCATTGAATTGATAATAGTCAATACGAGAAAGATGAATAAATCGTCATTTTGAAAAAGGAAAAGCAAAAATTAAACTAGAAGCAATAAACTCAATTTTCTCTTTGATTTAAATATAATCACATTTTGGATACTGACTATTCGAAATTTAAAATATTGAAGTCGCAAAGCAATTATTCATGATGATCTGATTAGCCGAATTTCTTCAACAAAAACTTTCGTTTTCACCTGGATCACTTACATTTATTTATCGTTTTGTCTTTCATTGTCTTGATTCCAAGTATTAGAGGCGAACAAAATATAATCTTCTCTTCTCATTGCAAGCTATTGATCTTACCGATGAAGTTGATCCAGTCATATTAGAATTTCGCTTTGGCATTGACAGAGTAAATTTCAATGAAGACATTTTCTCGATCAAAACATGAGAGAATAGATTGTCTGGAGGATTTGGATGTGAGTGTCGATATCTCTTTTTTTGAATACCCACACCCTTGTATGACTTGTTAAACATCTAATCATTTGTTTTATATCAGACAAATGAAAAGAAAAAAGAGAACGTTATGTCAGACATCGAGTATATTTTTGTTTTTGAACGAAGAACTGCATTATTGGTGGGTTCGAGATTCAAATATGTGAAATAAAAATAGTTTCGTTTAATCAATGAGAAACTAACAGTTGAAGCCAAAATTGAATGTGAATTTGCCTTCAGTATTCAATTTAAGGATTCGACAACTTGTAAACGTCTGACGGTGTTAGTTCGCGATTATGTACATAGAATTCATCAACTGCACCAATAATGGACCACCATATATGCTCGAGGTTTTTGTCGATAAGCTTCTGCTTTCTATTCATAATCTGTTACATAACCAATATGAAACATGATACTTTCCGAGTACGATAGATGCCGTGTATGCAAAATGCTTGTTTATATACATTTTAACTGAACGTCTTGTTAGCGCTTTGATCAGATTGGTGAATTCAAGTAGAATAAAGGCAATTGTTTTCGTGAACTATAAAACAAACCTAAGTGTTCAGTTTGTTTTATTGTGATATAAGAATTGTAGAGAAAGATGGATTATTCAATAATTACTCGATTAGAAGATTTACCTGTAGAAGTTTTAATGGAAATATTTGTTTATTTTACACCTAGTGAAATCTATTTATCATTCTCACAATTAAATAATCGTCTTAATTTAATTCTCAAATCGTCACCGAACTTGGTTCTTGTCATACAACGACATTTAGATCCTTCTGTCCTCTCTTTCTTCTATTCATTTAACAAAATCCTCATGAAATTTTCTGGTTTATATAGTCATGGTTGTGATTGTCAATCCCATTCGATAAATGGTGGCAATCGTTTATATGAAATTTATCCAACATTGGATAACGAATGGTACTCTCGATATTCCATCGAAATCGAAAATATTATTCAACCTGATATTTATTCTCGATTGCAATCATTAGTTTTACCAGTTACTCCACCGAAATTGACACAACTCATATTTAGTGGTATATTTTCCCGTTTAAGATTCTGTCATCTTGGTAAATGCAAACCAATCACACTTCCATTATCGATGACTAATCAACAGCTAAATTTTCGTCAATTAACCATACGAGAACAAAATGGTCATGAATTAGAAAGAATATTATTGGTTTGTTCTTCTTTGGTGTATCTTGATTTCTCATGTAATAATATTCCTCCATTTATTTTAATAAATCATTGTTTTCCATGTATGAAATATCTTCGACTTGGTCGTCTTAAAAATTTCTTTTTTCACAATGGTCAATTTGATTTTCTTCTTTCACTCTTTCCAAATCTTCTACAATTCTCTTTAACTGTTGATCAATGTCGTGAACATGTTGAAACCATCCAATTTCGAGAAATTTCAAATTATCTACGCCATCGATGTCCGTTACTGAAAATATTGGTTTTACGTATTTATATGCAAGGACATATGCGTTCCTCTTATTATATAGGTAGTTTTAAGGAGATCACCAAGATGCATTCTCTTTTCAATTATATCGAAAAATGTGACTCACGTCTAATGATTAGTTCGCATGGTTTTATTCAACATCATGTTTATACGCGTCGATATGCTCGTCCTTCATTTAAATAATCTTATATGCAATGGTAGATCTATATTTAGCTTAGCTGTGTTTGACTATTTCATTTACATGTCATTTGTTTGTATTCTTTTTTGATTCTATTAAAATAGGGACCGAAATATTTGTTAAAGTTTAGAATATTGATCTTATCCAAACACTTTATTAAATATCATTGAATAAACACTTCTATGAAATAGAAATAATAATTAATTGAATTGTTGACATTCTAGAAAAAAAATAACAGACGTACGGAAGGATACATTGAAACTACGTTCTCAGAATATGTCGCAAGTTCGTTCGAAGAAAAGTATCTAAACGAGCACCTCGTGTCAGAAAATACGATGCATACGACATATATTTTATTAGTGTGAATGCATATTGTTTGTGATTATATTGTGGCAAAAAAGTGGAAACAGAAAAACTATTGATTTATTTCTGGATAAAGAATGCTTTCAGATAGATACTACAGTGTAAAAACAAAATTAACTTTTTTGATTTTAATGTGGATATTCTCCTCGCCAACACACACACCTTATCCTGTTGTTTTGATGATAGACATTTGAGCTTCGCAATGCATTTTGCAGTCGAGTGAAACTCCATTGTCATCTAGTTGATTTGCGTTTCTCACATGAACATTATCAAAAATTAACCTGAATCATTCGCATTAATTTTTCTAATGATGTTATAAGTTAGAGTTCATCGAGTCCACAATTTTTAGTCTCGGTTAACAGAAAATTTTTAGACCTGAACCCGGTCATGTTCGGATCCAAGACCAACTCGAAGGGATCTATCACAGGAAATGGACAGTCGAGTCCAAATAATTTTTCAGTGGTTTTCAATTGAACGCCCTGTTTTCGAGTCGAGTAAAGTTACTCTTGTCAGTTTTTTGTTTGCTGTTTATTTTTATGAAAAACATTAACAACAAGTTTTTCATGACCCAATATCTTGTTCCTAGTTTTTATGCGTAAAAATAAAATAAGAACAGTCCTACGTATAAAAAAAAATGACATAACTACTGTGGCCTTATCAACAAAGTAAGGATAGTAATATCAATTCTTCTCTTTTGTGCTATTCCACAAGACAATATTTTATCAACAAAAATCCAAATTAAAAGTTGTTTACGAGCAAATAAATATTTTTTTTTGACATTTAAATGAATGTCTTATGCATTTTAAAGATGATAAAATGTAAACATTTACCTGTGAAGAATTTGAACGATCCGATCTCATTAAAATACTATTTTGAGAAAATATACGTTCAACTAATTCTGATGCAGCAGAAACTTATCGCTTTTCTAGCAAGTTTATTCAAATTTTGATATAAATTTCGTTTTTGAGAAAATAAGATTACTGATTAAATTTTGTTTTTGTTGCAGAAAATCATCCATTTCTTCTCATACTGATTTTACTGTTGAATTATCAACTTTTGTCATGCTTAGCTAAAAAAAGGTCCGTACTGAAAGTTTAGAAATACTCAGAAGAGATCCTAAGAGGACAAATATCTATTTGAAAACAGTCAATACAAGATTGACTTGCAAAATAGACATTCTTAATGTAGTATTAGTCAGGTAAGCATGTTAACTGAAATTTAGATCAATCACATATAACTTCCACAAACCTATAAAACGACACAATTGATATTAATGTATGTTTAAAACTTAAGAATAATATCAATGATATTCTTTTGTTTTGAATCTAATTCAAATTGATTTCACATTATTAATTTTAATGAGATATTATTATACAAAATAGAATCTAAATCTAGTAGTTGAAAACAAACAGTAATGCAGAACTTTTCGCAGAAGTTTTACTCACAACAATTATATTACTCTCTCCAATCAAAATGAAAATTAAAGAACATTTCATATGAATTTTATTGAAGAACGACAAAACATAAAAGTCAAATATTAATCTGTACGTTCTTTCATGTTTTTATTCATTCCCTTTTGTAAATAACTTAAATAAAAAAAATGTGCAAAAAGAATCAGATAAATAACATAAAGTACAACAGAAACTACAATATTACTATTCGATGTCATACAATAGTATCCATCTTGTTTATATTTGTATGCAGCAGTATTAACTATACAACCAACAAGCATTTGAATAAGCTGAAGAACTGTAATAGACTGTTGAATAAATTGAGGAACTCGAAAACGAGCAGCACGTAATGCAAAATAACTATACATTACTGTATGAACGCATAGATTCATCGATGTAAACCAACGACCAGTCGGTGCAAATAGTCCATAGCTTAAAAATATGATACAAAAAATATAGTTTATTTCTTTGCAAAAAAAAACAAAGAATAGATTAAATTTCAAAATTTACCTATAGAAACAATAAACAACTACCGAAGCATGATGAAACCAATGTAGAAAGATTAATTGCTGTCTTCGTAATACAATAAACAATGTATCAATTGTTTCTGGTACTTTCGAAATAATAAATAACCATAACCTACAACATAAATAATTTGAAAAAAAAACAAATCAATAATTTACCATAATCCCGTTACACCTTTTTTCAATATTGGATTACATAATGAATGTTGAAATCCATGTTTAGTTAATGAATGTAAAAGTTCAGGTACACATCGACATGCACCCCAAAAACTAAATACGGCAAGAAAAACATTCCAAATGATCAATGCTTTTCTTAATTCATATTTTTTATTTCTTTTTCTCATCCATATTTGACCAATAAATACAAGAATAATATAAAATAATGCAAATGGAATACTTAACCACCACCAATTATACATAAAATTTTCGATTGATAAAAGATTTTTTTCATTTAAAAGTGTCAATTCAAAATCGAAAACCCATCGATGAACAACATTACTTGGGTCTCTTATGGATGAATAAATTTTCATTATATGATACTGAATTGCTTCTTTTATTGGTCTCAAACAAAGTTATATATTCTCTTTTCTTTGTACCATTATTACTATTTCATTGTAATTCATGTCATGATAAATTCATTCCTTTCAATTTATTTGACCTTCAATTTTATTTCTACGATTGTTCTTAAAAAGAGAAAAAAAAACATAAACGCGTGTCAATATATTTGCACCTGCTAATATTTGACTATAAATGAATAATTTATCGATGACGTCAATGATTTGATTTTCATTATTGTGAATATAGTTTTTTGATTTATTTGCCATCGAAAATCTATGTTGCTATTAAATGCATCTGAGCTACCAAAAAGTCATTTTTGTTGCAGGCGCGACTTCCAAGCCACACCAAACCGATTGATGTTTCGAACTTGTCGAATACGTTTAATTGTATAACGTTGTATTAATTTATCATTCTAGTTTTGCACGAAACGGTAAATTAAAACAAAGAGGCAAACATTATAAATAACTTTCATACAAGAAAGACTTGAATTAGTGCAATGTGTTTTTGATCATATTAATTCTTGTTTTTTATAATCGAAAAAATGTAATCATGATAACAAGAACAGCACTACATCGAACAGTCCAGCTTCGGTCGGTTTGTGTTGATTAATCTTGACGTTCGTTTTCTAAATTTTGTCTTTTCATAAGTATTTTTTTTATTTATTTTTTGTTATGCATCAATAGCATACCATGTACAGTAGTTTCTCTACGTCAGCAACAAAAGTGTGTTGAATTCTCAACGAGAATCTTGACTGTTTTCTCTACAGATGTTTTTTTATTTGTAAGAAACATTGATTAGTTACAAAAGATTAGACAAAGAGAATGTCGTCGAGAAACAACATATCCAGTTACATACTTTAGACTAGAGTATACACTTGAGTCTGACCGCGCCCGAACTACTCGAACTTGGCATATATTCTTGTATTGCTGCTTTGCTTTGAATAATTTGTTTACGAGTAACAGTGCACTAATTGTCCACCAAATATGTAAAAGCATAAAGTTATTGATGAATATCCGGCTAGTCGAATAAGTGATACCTACAATAACAGACAAGTGCATTGACATTTGACAATCAATTTTGGCAACCGCAAAAAAATTCAAAATTTATTATCGAATTGTTTTGGATCTAAGCAAGTTCTTCTGTCAGTCAATGGATGTCTTACAACACTAAATTGACGTTTGAGTCTAGCATTTGTTGCTGAAATTGAATCAATATGTCAAAGTATTCTGAAATAAAAAAGCGATGCGTTAACATTTAATTTTCAAAACGTATAAGGCAGACTAACAACTTTGACTTATCAGGCCAGCGGCTCTGACATGCATTGAGACTAAGATTGTTAATATTCTTTTATTTTATATTGTTCATAGAAACCGATAACTATGCAATTGTTTTTAATAACTAATTTTAAAAAAAATTAAATATGTCTAATTATTTTCTATCGAATTATTGCTCTTGATGCTCGTGACAAATCAATAGGTATTTGTTTTGGATCATTGAATATAAGCCATTTTTCTTCTGGTATACCTTCAAAAGCATCTCGAAAACGTTTATCATCAAATGATTCATCATTAACTGCTCGTATAAATATAGCACGTATACGTTCAGGATATTCTCTTGTAATAATTCCATATATTTCTGGATCGTGTTCTCCACTGTCACCAATTAAAACAAAATCGCGTATTGTATTGAATAGAAAAAAACGTAAATAACTCATTTTATGATTATATGTTGATTGAGAATGAAGAAAATCAAATAACGATGCTATTGCCCAATGAAAATGCCGCATATGAAATGATCCATCAGGAAAATTATTGTTATTGATAAATTCTTGTGTTAATGTATACAATTGATCAGGCATACTTGATAAATAATGAAAAGTACAATTTTTATTATTTGCTCGCCATTGTTGATATAAATCAGACATGCCTATACAACGAAAATAATTCATAATTCAAGAAATTTTATGTTTACCTGGTACAGGTTTAAAAGGAAAAATAAATGTATTGGCAAGAAGACGTATTTTATCAAATACTTCAGAAATTTTAATAGTATCATCAATATCACTAATAATTGAAATTCCTTGACTTGGTTCAATAAGTCGTATAATTCCTGTTGCATTTTTTTTATCATCACTCATAGCTTCATATGTAATCACATTACCATTTTGTTGTTGTGGTTTTTTTAATCTTTGTATATCATCATTTGTTATTTTAATTTGTTCAAAAAATTGACCGTATTTATCTGTACGAATTACCTGTACTTTATCACCAATTTTAATTCTAATAATTTTATTTGATTCATCAGAAACAAAAAATGGTTGAAGTCGATCATCACTAATTGATCCATCAGGATATAATTTATCAGTTTGATCAATAAGATTTTGAGTCAATCGTTGTATCCATAAACTTGCAGTAATTTTAAGCCAATCTTTGAATCCATTATTTTCATATTTCCAACCATGTACTGTTACTTTCCATGTATTATTATTATTATTATTATTTAACGATTGAAAAGCAACATCAGGAAAAAGAAGTATTTCATGTTGATGAAAACGACGATTATCAATATTAAATTTATTAATTAATTTTTGTGTTATTATTTGCCAAAATTGACGAACTCGATGTTCTTTTACATGACTTTGACTATCAATAGTAGTAACAAAAACTAAGAATATAAAGAATACAGTTGCATGCATAGTCATGAGTGTTATAGTAAAGGTAAACCTATGGTATAGTATAGCACACTCAAAAATGTGGCATAGAAAAAAGTAACAGAATAGATTTGTCGTATTTTATATAAAAAAAACGAACGAACATATAGATGATTTTTGAAGCAGTAAAAATTATAAAACAATAATGTATGTATGAATAAACGTTAATATCAAAGAACATTTCATCGATGGAATGAATAAGTATGATGAATCATTTTCGAGTTCCTTTTATCAAAAGACATTCAACTATTTGTCTTCACGGCATTTTAATCTAAATCAATCTGATGTGAAACTTTTTTTTTTTTATAGTTTTATTACCATTCTCTAAATAATTCATACAATTTGCTTCTTTTATTTTTCAATTTTACTTCTAAACGAACACGATACATCAAACTATAAGGTACTCAAATGAAAACAACAACAACAACAAAACAGTACAGTTTATTTTATTAATGCACACATGAAGAAAGAGAATTGTTCATAATTTTTTTATCGAATATGCATTGTTATACTTATATTCATCTTAGGTTTGATATTCATTCCAAATAACTTTAGGTTCCAATGTTTCAGCAATTAATTTATAGTGAATTTTTCAATTAGGAAATGAGGATGATGAATAAGGTGATGTTCAGATTAATGACAATGAATCAAATAAATCCATGTTATTATAACTTGATTTGATATGTCTAGCAAAAGTCTACTGCGCATTGGTGGTAGCGAAAAATACGATACGGTTTTCTAGTAGTGTCAATATGCTTGAGATATCATGCATGATTTCTAGTAACCTCTTTCTTAAAGGTTGATTGTCTTTTAGAATTTACTAAAACTTCGTTTATTCTTCACGTTTATATGTTCAACAACTATAATGTTTACCAACGAAAGAATTAATTTTACTATCTAAATTATAACAGCAAATGTTAAAATGATCGTTACACAATAATATTCGCATCAACTTTTAGAACACATGAGTTATAACAATATGACATTTGATGCAAGTTTTACATGCCTATAAAAGACATCACTCTCTATGACAAAGTATTGATACCCGTGTATATCTAATCTTACGTCAAATTCGAAACAATTTCATGCATGATTACGTAGTGATATATCAATTGAAAAAGAAAATCGAATAAAACTTTTGAGGAAGAAGTATTTGATCAATCTTTGATAATGGTTTTACCAAGAGATGAAGCAGTTCATTATAATAAAAAAAGATTAAATCCTAAGTAATAATGAATTTAGAAAACGTTTTAAACTTACCTATTCGCAAGTTTTACGAACGAGATTTTGCTATAGGCGATGTAAACTAAAATTTCTCGATGAAGTAATAAATTTTCATAAAGGATTAATTAAAATATATTAATCAATTGATTTATTTTCAAATTATTTTTTTCTCGATATAAATTCATTTACAATTATATCTAAATCAATTTCAAAACCACGTTCAAGATGCACTAAAGATAAACTAGATAGTCTCTCTTGACCTAGTGCTGTGTGGATAGCCAGAGAGACTTGCATTCAAAATAGATCCTTGTAATGTCGTTACTGTGTTTTTTTGTGAAATAACAAGAAACTTTTTTTTCATATACTTAACTAATAGATTAGATTAACCTCTTATTGCATCCCTAATTGTTTTTTATGGGAAGCAACTACATCTTATTATTTTGCTCGTGCGCTCCTTATTGATTTAACTGCACGTATTGAAATCACTATTCAAATAAATAATGTGAAAAAGAAAATATAATAAAAAATATATGATAATAAAATTTAAATGAGAGATGAGACAGTATGTATGTATGTGTTTATGAGTCACTGAAAGAATAATAACAATAAATATTGTTTTTCATTTGCAGAAAAAAAATCATGTGATAATTTCCGAATAAATAGAATATTTTAAACGAAATATGATAAGAAAAATTATAGTCATATGGATGTAGTATATATTTATTATCATACGGGGAAGGCATGATATATCCCATGCCCACACATATGATCACATTGAAAGTAATGTTGTTTTTTCTTCTCGAGAAAAATCTTTAATTTAGCAACAGCTCACTTTTAATGGCGTAGGAACACTATTGACCCTCACACATATCAGCTGACTATTTGTTGGAAATAACCATATGACATAAGTATGACATGATAAGCGTACTTATTTGTTGACAACGTTTTTATGATTAGTTATGCAAAAGTAAAATATTTGTTCTAGATGAATTCTAGACGATAAAGAGTATTATTCAAAAAAAATCCTTGAGATTTGTT